TTATTTGTATTATATGTGTATCGTACATATACATTGTAAACATTTTTATCGAGAATCAATAATAAAAATTTGTATATACGTTAATATTGACCAATGTTCAAACCGAGTATCTTTCTATTAAGATTAAATCAAACGTTCGTACGTTTATTGTATTATAAAATTGTTTTATAAATTGCATAATGGATTGTTTTTGTAATATAATGTGATTTTGATTAATATTCATTTAAAAACTGACGAACATTTTTGATTCACCTTAATCTATACGACGTATCAAATAAATTCACGTTATAGAAATAACATTTAACTTTATGACTTTTTACAAAAGTGCCAATACGAAGAGCAAAAGATTCATTTAGATCGAACGGATTTAAGGGTGACTTGTAATTATTATATTTCCAGGAGAGAGTAATAGGGGCAGTACACGTCGTACGTGTCAAAAAGTTTTCTGAACGTGTTCGAAGAAGTTTTTGCAATAAAGCTCGTTATATATATGTAGTATCGTGCTTTTGTTTTCTTCTTTTCTTTTTTATTATTTTTTTTATGAAAAAAGAAAAACAATTACTAATTTACAATAATAATTAAATAATATTCACCACCTGATGAAACAGAATATATTTCGTCTAATACATTACAACGAAACGAAGTACGAGGAAAATAATTTTGTAATGGTGTAAACAAAAAACTGAAACAATGTTTTTCTGGAACCATGTAAAAAGAAAAATTAAGTGCATACACCTTGTTGTTATACTATCGAATACAGAAAAGGAATCATCGGTTCGCATGTACACGCGAGTTTGAAATCAGTAAGAAGAGTTTAGTTAGAAAGAAAAGCAAAGATAGGAAAAAGGGGGAGGTTTGGTTCGAAGAAAAAGAAGAAGAAGAAGAAGAAATTCTTGAATTCCCGTTCTTCGTGTTATTATATACTATAAAAGGCACGGACCCCATCGAAATCCGTTCCGCTCCATGTACGTCTCGGCCAACATGAAATATAAGGCAATTTCATGAACCATTAAGAATGGAAGTTCATAAGTCGGCAGCAGCACGTGTTTTCGGTGTTAACCCGTGTAGAAGGCAAAATGAGATTTTTCGATGTGTCGGCCCACCACCACCATACGGTTCTTCTCTTCCACCCCCTCCCCCTTCCTCCACCACTCTTTTGCTTTCTCTTAGCATGCCATCGATAACACGGACATACCGCGAGGAAAAAAAGAATAACGTGGTATACTACTGGAAACTCTAATATAATGCCGTTTTTCTTCAACTGAAAGAAAACCTTCTCTTATTTCTTTCAACAAAATTGATTTCTACCTAACACATTTGTCTTTTTTCAATATCTTACGATGACTCTCGCGAAAGTATTTTGATACGATCGTTATGAAATACTAGAAATAATAATCAAAAAATATTCATATGTTATAGATTTACGTTATTAAAATAAATATTGTAACAACTATAAGACACGACAATTTTAACGGATTAAAAAGGGGGTGAATAATAAAAAAAAAAAAACGAAAAGGAAAGTAAAGGAAGCAAGGAAATAAGGAAGGGAAGAAGTGCCTTTATAATTTCACCCCTAATTTATTTTACAGTGAAGCTAATAAAAAAGCAACCACCGCTATGTATCCCGTTTGGCTGTTCGCCAAGGAGCACCAACGAAAAACGGGGATATTCTGGTGGGAGAAAAATGAAAAAGCGGAAACGCTTTCTTGCAGATCCTCGAAAACACGCGAGCACGTATTCTTCCGACCTCTCCCTTTGACTTAGGTTGAACAAAGGGCCCTTATGATACGGCTCTTTCACTTTTATCGCGTCCTTTCATTCTATTTCTTTTTTTTTTTTTGTTTTTCCGTTTATATTACGACCGATAATATCGATAATGCGAATAGAAAGAGAAAAAAAATCAAATAATTATTCTATCTAACGCTATAATACGAAACATGGAATTATAATTCCTCTCTTTGTGCATTATTTTATAATAAAACATATTCAATTTATGTTAGAAATATTAAAACATTTGCGTACATAAATTGATATAACAAATACCGATGACGAATCACATTAAAACGTGAGAATAATGATTTAATGAAATGATTAATGTTATCACAATAGATACGAATTATTGATGTTGGTCGAAAAAGGAATGTAGAAAATAATATATATATTTCTTTGTACAATTGTGAATTGTGAACAAATGAAGAAAATTTTATACGATTAATCAAAATCCATTTTAAACGTAGACAACCCCTTTTTCCGTTTTAAATCCTACATTCGCTCGATATGCGAACGGTATCCCAAGCTTTCGTACTATACTCGAAAATGTGCATATATATATATATATATAATATATATACTTAGGACCCCGATCGATGAAACACGCGGCTGGTGATTTTATTATTACTTGCGTGCATTATCGCGCGTGGCACGCCAAATGTGCGATCGTGTGCTCTCGCATGGTCCGGAAATTCCGATGATTCTCGTGTTTCGCTTTGCAACGTCGATCGTGAAAATTGATTAACCGGCAATAAGTGAATTTTTATCTCATCCGTTTCCCCCCTCCTCCCCATCTACCCTATCCTACCCCCTACCCTTACTCCCTTTTCCCAAACAAAACGTTCGCGTCCAGATATTTTGCGAATAACGATGAAATTATTAAACGTTGAAAGGAAAAGAAAAAACAGGAAGCATTGAGAAACAGGACCAAAAATATTCGATCATTTTGAATGATAATAAAAGAATGAACCCCGAAAAATATTCTTTGTATTTTTTTGTGTTACTAATATTTACACATCTTTACACGCATTTTACTTATGTAATTCGTTAAGGATACCTATACGTCGTGTAATACAAAACCGCTCTTGTCGAACCACATCAAACGTCACAATGGTTAACGAAATTAGATTAACTATAGGTGTGTCTACCATCAAATCTATTAAAACAAAAGCCCTACCTATCGTGTTTCAACTCGTCCGTTGGCTAATTAAACGTCTCATCGAACGCCGCTGGCATCTCGTTTTCGTGTAATACCGCTAACACGTTGTGACAGTGATAGTCATAACAGGAGGATGGATAAATCGTTAGACGAAAGGATATTCCCGTTTTTTTTTGTTTTATTCTCTATCGACAAATTTGACGATAGATATAAATAGGCGAATCGAAAACTAGACGTTCGAATTTCTACGAAATTAATTATTATAAAGTTTAAAATATTGAGTCCTAAAAAAAAAAAAAACTAGTGTGTGTACTTATGTACTTACGTAAGAAATTATACTTCTTCAGCGTTCCAAAACGAATATAATCTCAATAATCTCAAAAATAGCTACAATTTGCGCGCGCATCGTAAATATCGACAACTTCGTGGTGTTGATTTTTTCGGTCGCATCTAACTTCACTTTCCAAAACGCGCCAAAAGAAGTATAACTTCAAAAACACGAAAATAAAAAAACAATAAAGTAATTTCGATTAATTAACACAACACATTGGGGACCGGTCACGAGTTAACTCATGTTAAAAAAAAAAAAAAAAGGAAAACAAATAAGAAAAATAATATATATAAATTTTTGTTCTTTAAGAAATATTAAGAGTTGACTATATAATAAATAAAATTTATTAAAGTTTATTTATATTATTTTACTTTCACATCCGCTTTCAAAACAATAGCCGGCCACATGAGATAAATTTTTAGAAAAGTTGCCGGTTCCAAATATGTTAAGAGAAATCCTATGTATAGATAGATTCGGACAATTGGGGTATTTTCGCTGTTGGATGTTAAATCAAACGCAGGTGGCAAATAGCATCGATCGTGTCAGGTCGATTTCCCATCTAAGGAAATTATTCCCTTGTATCGGTGAAACCCATTAAACGGGTCTCTCGATTAGGTGGCCACGTCGCGAACGGATCGATCAATCGGGGTGCAAATATGCTACATAAACAGACTTGGATTTACTCTCGAACGAGATAGAGAGAGAGGGGGGGGAGGGTTGCTGCTGCTCTGGGTAGAACCTTTGAGAAATATACGGGCAAGTGTGTTGCTTAACGAGGAGGATCTGATATCCTACATACATAGTTGAGAATCTACAGACATTTGATCGTCATCCTATTCTTTCTTTATATCCCTCCCTCCCCCAAACCCCATCCAAATCGAGATTTATTAGGACAGGCGATTTTACTCCGATTCATTAAACTTTTTCAAAAAAAGACAAAGAAAAAGAACATTGAAAAGAGAAAAATCTCTACCTGCCTGTCTGTCTATCATTATCATCCTTTCTATCACGTTCATCATTATTATCGATTTACATATGTATTTGAGAAATTATCCATTAATACGATTAATAAAAGTATGATTATCTTATACGTATTTTTTAAATATTCATAATTCTTTCTATCATTCAAATTTACATTTACATTCGTCATTATATATTTTCTTTATATATATATATACATCAAGAATTTGTATCTTCTATTCGTGGCTACTGATTTAAACAAATTTATTATCTGTCTTTTTATTTTTCTTTTTTTCAATAGCTACTGTAAAAATCATTCTCCTAAAATAGCTATTACGTAAGGTAATACAAAAGAACAATGACGACGATGCAACGTAGTTCACTGGCAAGAGCTTTCGAATCTCGGGAACTGCTTGTATGTACGCTCAAGACCGCCAATCATGCTGATTGTCCTGATTGTGTCCGCAAGCCGTTTGCTCGCCGGTGCCTACGCGCAGTAATTATATTAGCTTTGAGGGAGGTCCAGGATTCTGGACCTCCTGTATATTCTCCTACCGTTTCTCCCCTCCGGCTCTTTATCGCGCTTCATCGCTCGTTTCTAGTAAACAGAACAAAGAGAATTGTCTGTTCACAGAATACCTGATTACTCTGTCTATATATACGTATATATATAAATATATATATATATTATATATAATTTACTTTCATTTTTTTAATTATATTACAAACGGGTTTATATATTCACACCACGCGCTCACCTAAATCGTCACACACCTTTAGTAGTCTAAATTTATTTTGACTTCATGTAACACGTAATTATACAAAATCTTGACGATTGTATTCATATTTTTGTCAACACTTCATTAATTTTTGTATTAATTTTAACAATAGTATCTAGTATCAATAACATCTACTAAATAAAATAAACGTAAAAAATATATAAAACTGATCTAAAAGAATTTGAATGTAACATTTTATGATTGATAGATTTCGTTTTTGGGAGTACGAACAGATCGGAACAAATCTATCGTTTCGCAATTACTTTATCGTACAGGATTTAAAGTCAATATCTGAATATTAAAATACACAGAATTTATGTTAAAATTGATTTGTTGTATTTAATACTACTTATAATACGTAGAAATATACAATTTTTAATCTCTGTATAATGTTCTGAAGAATGGTATTTTGCGAAACAATCACTGATATTAAATCCTGGCTTTCGAATACAAGTATCACAGTACGTGTGTGTTTGTCGTCTTTTTCCTAGAGTTTTCCTATCGGAATATACTGCACAGTTTTTATTGCCTCCTGAACGAATTATATATTTAATGATAAATGATTCATGTTATTAATATATTTTTATTTAATTAATTTTTAATTAAAATTTATCAATCGTACTTATAATTTTCCTTCGCTCCTCTTGTTGTAAGATTTTCAATCACAACAAGGAAGTATATCTTAATTAAGAGCACGTGAGAATGCGTACTTAAGAGTACACGCATTATATTTTTTTTACAAGTTAAAAAAAATTTATAAAGTTTATAAATAATTAAATTTGCGACGGGCATCGCCCATCAAAATTGAATTTAATACAAACTATGCATAAAAGCGAGAATAATCATTTTCATTTTAAGGGCTAAATAAAATTATCCTGATTCTAATAACTTACATTTCATTGAAGCATCTTCCAATGTTATATTTAAAAATTTGGTTGACAAATACCAACCACGTTAAATAATTCATGTCATGTAATTATACTGTATAAAAATATGCTTCAATTCTGTTATTACACGTCCATATCACAATATTACTATTTTTCGTGTATGAATAAAAAATGTATTTCTTATCTAAATTGTAATGTCTGAAAATGTCGGAGAAGTAAACAAAAATTCTCTCAATCTGTAGCATCAATTTTTCAGGAGACAAAATGTTATTCCTATGAATAAAAAAATCTTCAAATTACTAAAAAAAAATTATCATCTGAAACGGCTTTGTTACACTTCTCCTTAATCCTTTTCCGAAGAGTGAGAATTGATACTGTTATTTTCAAAATGGCACCTACTTCTTTGTTTTTTCTTTCCCCATCTTTAAAGCTTTAATTGCCATATTTAATGCACCTGCCTGAGTTGTATGGCCTCCAATGAAACGATTCGTGTGAACAAAAACACAACCCTTAATTCCACTGACTTTATCAAGTTCCGTTGTTCTTAAACCACCCCATTTTTCTGGTAAATAAAGCCTACACATTAACAAATAATATTAAAAATAAATCTGATGTATCCTTATAATATAAAATAAGTTTCCAAAAATACAATGAAAAGCATGAATACCTGCATACAAAACTTGATGGTTTTACAGAAACCGCTCTAACTTTGAATTCACTACTTGAATCCTTAAAAATAATATATTTTATAAGAGGTTTTATATTGATCTCTTTTTCTAATTGTGCTAAATGGTACTGCCATGGTGCATTTTTTTCCAGTATTATGATCTCCCCACTATTATGGACCTATATAATTAAATACTTTTGTAATATATATTTTTTACAAGACAATAATTAAATAATAATCACTATCTAGTAATTCCCCGTGTAACACGAGTTCCTATGTAGCGTCAAAGATATTATTACTATTGTTTTCATACACATTTAAAGACAATGTTTTTTCACAAACCTTAAAACGATTTGCTAAAGCTTTCTCTATGATAGCTCTTGCTGGCAACCATATATTTATGCATACGTTTACCGCGTACATAAATTCTTCTCCAACTAACTCAATAGCTTTCTGAAATTGTTCATCGACATCTGTTGTTTTATCATTCCAAGGGGGGTTTAATCTATTTACTCTTGAACTTATTCCAGTTGATATGGTATAACTATAAATAAAATAAGTTAATTGAAACATATACGGAGAACATTTTATTTCTTCGCTTGAGAAAATTCGTTTTTCTTACGTAGGTTCATCTTGAGTCATTGGTACTCCATTATCTATAGCATCAATTTCTTGAATTAACTTAAAATACACGTTTTTAAATATAGCCTTAATAGTATTAGAATTCGTATTTGCAGGAGCCAATTGCTGTATTATTTCATGACCATAATGACAATAAATTAATCCTGCACTGCTTAACTTTATTTTACATTCGCATCCAGGTTCTTTTATAATAGTACTTAATGATTCATTAAAATCTCTGTAACGTAGTCATAAATATAAATGATAGAATAATTCAATTTAATAATTTATAAAGGTATAAAATAAAGAATCGTACCTCATATGATGATCATATCGACAAATGGAATGATCATATTTTGTACCAACGTCTACAACAATATCACAAGTATCCAAAATATTAAGATCGCGTGATCTGAAAATAATACAGTTGATAAAAAAGAATCGTTCAACATTTAACCGTACTGTACTTTAAAAGTGTTTACCTTATGACAACTGCATCTTTATATCTAGGTAAAAGTTTTAATAAAAAAATAGCAAGAGCTTCATCACAATGGAATACACCATCATGAGTACCAATTTTTATCACTTTTTTCTCCGACATTTTTAACAATTACAAAACTACACGTGTCAATATAAATGTTTTTGGTTATATTTCCGTATACACTAAATAGAAGATACAATTTATAAGAACGTTAACTCTCTGAGAGATCGCGAGAAATATTACTAGTGTTTCTAGTTCCGCTAGAGGTATGACTGCCACGTCCTCTGATGACGAAACTTTAAACTTACAAATAACTAGCCCAATAATATTTAACTATGAAGTGTTTTTTATGACTAACATAAGGACAAAAAATATCTATAATGCACCAATAAAATGCATAATCATTTTAAAGAAAGTCACTAACAGTTCTTTAATTTGTTTTCCACTTTGACATCATATTCAATTTTCTGACATATCAAGGATTTGTACCACCAAGAGATCCCACACCCTACATTTGTCAGCTGATCTTGTGACACAAATGGTGAAAGAAGGTATAATGCAGAATTCGGTTCAACCATTGGAAAATAACGATGACAATGATAAAGTTGATTGGTATGGCTCTGATGATTGGAATTCCAATAAAGCTGGTAAATATATCATGTTTATAATTACAAAATATTTATCATATTGAATAAATGAAATTAATAATGCAATATATTTTCTATGTAATCAAACGATCATCTATTTTTCTAGAATATGAAGATATTCATGAAAAGTTAGATGATTTACATTTCGTTTTGGACTTCCTTGAGAAAAAAAATCGCACCATCCAGGCTGAACTAATGGAGCTGTTACAATCAAATCGAGAAGCAAGAAAACAATTTCAAGAGGCATTAAATATAAAATACAATAGATATTTAAACGATACAGAAAAGATATAAAACAAAAAATTAAATATTCCAACAGTTTTACAATTATAACTTCTCGTCTATGTAGTTGAATGTATATCGGATTACATTCGTTATATTAAAATTAACGGAAATAAATAAGCAATTATAGAATATACATGCATTAGCATATTAAATAAAAGCTTTTTCAAATTAACTGTAATAGTTGTATAAAAGTACAACAAAATTAAAGATTGTACAATAATAATTCGAGATTTTCTAAAGTAAAATACTATTAATAATAAAAACTTAATTTTAATTTGTATTGTAAACATTATGACAATTTTTAATTCTTAATTGTAAAAATTATTCAATAAATTAGTTGTTAAAATAATTTCAGATTAGTCTATAATTATAATATTTTCTCCTATTAAAAAATATTGGGTTGGCAACTAAGTGAGTGTGGATTTTAAATAGGGAAAAGAAAAAATCCGCAATTATTTAGTTGCCAAGCAACATCTCCGAAGGGCCAAAATTTTCAGTCGATAACTTACCGTCATGTTACCACTGTCGGTAAGTTATCGGCGCGTTGCTACTGCCGGTAAGTTATCGGCGCATTCCTACTGTCGATAAGTTGATAACGCGTTACCATTGTCGGTAAGTTATCATTGTAGGTAAGTTATCGACTGAGAAATTTTTGCCTTATAGAGATATTACTTGGCAACTAAGTAATTGCGGATTTTTTCTTTTCCCTATTTAAAATCCGCACTCACTTAATTGCCAACCTAATATTTTTTAATAGGAAAAAATATTATAATTATAGATTAATCTTAAATTATTAAAATAATTAATTTACTTAATAATTCTCACAATAATGTAAAACATTTAGCAACGGTATAAAAAATATTGGCAATCTATTTAAATTCGTAATCATTTAATAATTCTAATTTGTGATTACAATAATTCACAATAAAATATTAAAATAAAATCGATGTATAATTATATAATTATCACGCAAATTTTCTATATAAATAAAATAGAATAATTACCGAGTTTCTTGTAAAACAAGTAGAAAAATTTAAAGGAAAAAAAAAAAATTAAAAAATATGGTGTCCCTCTTAAATGGTAACGTTGACCGTAACGGTCGCTACAGTCGTATAACTCATCCTAATAGTAGATGCACGTGTATGAATGGGTGCATGTCCGAGCATAGGGTGATGATACGGGTATGAGATACACAGGGAACAGGGGAAAACAGGAGCGGTCCGAGCAAGCAAGCAAGCAAGAGAACGAACAAGCGAATGAATGAGAGAGCAACTGCAGAGTGAGTTGGAGGTCGGAGGAGTATATTGGCCATTTCCGCAGGAAGCTCTAGGTAACCTGTAACAGCCGTTGAGGTTGAAACTGAACGTATTAGCGATCGCTGCCATTTCAGGACAACACAACGATAATACTTTCCAATGGGTTTCAATCAATATTTAACCACCATCCATCCTTTCAGATATTTCTATAGGATTTCAATTTCATTCATCATCCAATAACAAACTTAACTCCTTATTTATCTTTCACCTCAAACTGACATAATCTAACAATCTTGTTTTGGATCACCACCATCATCATTCCCTTCAAACTTATTCCTTTCACACATTTCAAAATCTTCCTTTTCTTTTTAGCGAATCCTATCATCTGGTGGTTTTGGTCATTCGATCATTAGGAGGTGATACTCTTCACGATGGGAACCATGATTCAATATGGATCGTATCGTTTTTCAAGCACATCGAAAATGATTAATATTCTGAATAAATGATATACGAAATTTGACGGATCAAATCTATATGTATAACCCAAGCATATACATCTTTCCTTTATTCTTAATATTAACATATAAGGAAACGTGCATTGAAATAATTATTACAAAAATAAAGTGTTCAGTTTAATAAATTAGTTAGCTACTCGAACACTCACGCGAAATCTGGTTTTTGCCAGATAGGAATTTTATGGTTTCATTGGGCCGTAACGGGGACCATCTGCGACTGTCTTTTACTATCAGGATAAAGTTCCACTGAAAAATGTAACTCTTGTAAGATTTGCCGGGGTTGTTTAATAATATCTTCGCAAATTTTTTTAAATATATTTTATAATCGAAGTTTTTTCGTCTTTTTTTTTATTTTTATTTTTCTTCTCGCACGAAAGATAGATTATACATAAAATATCATTTAATAAGAAAAGCTACGTAATAACAACAGACAATACATTTTCCCGTCCACATAAGATAGACTGACGTATGCGCGTGCGATCAGTAATTCACGCGAATCGAAAAAAAAAAAAAGAAAAGAAAATAAAAAAATGCGAAAAGAGAGAGAGAGAGAGAGAGAGAGAGAGAGAAAATATAAACGTATTGCCAACCGATCACGTTCACCGAGATAAACGGCCGTTGTTCCCGATCATGAACATAATATTCATGGCAATTGAGGGATGCACCAACGGGAAAAGATTTTTTTTTTTTTTTATAAACGACGATATTTTTTTTTATTATTATTTTTCAACTACGGCTATATAGGTACGATTAGGTTGTTGCTTTTTTTTTTTCTTCAATCTTTTTTTTTTATATTCAACGCATAAATAAAATAACGCACGATAAACATTTTAGTTGTTTGTTGATTGAATTCAATACGCGATATAGATAATTGAACTTGAAGAAATACTAAGTTTAATAACACATTTATAGAATTATTTTATTATTATTTATTCATTTAATATTAATTAACGAATTAATGGGAATCGTGTCATTTATTTTTGTTAGTAGGTGCAATGGATACGTCAAATGTTAAAATTGAATAAGACCTTGTCAAAATATACATACGTTTACATTTTGAATCGATTAACATTAATGAAAAAATAAAATGTGTATACAAACATATTATAAAGTCATATTTTATCCAGCAATGTTTTTTTCTATTGTTTTTTTTTTTTTTTTCATTTACTGTCCCTTCCTCTTTTCTTTAGTTTGTTTCATTGACAGAACATGAACGTATACGACACAAACAGATAAGGAAAAAATAAAAAGCATTCCGTTTGTGCCAGTCCTTACGGGGAACTTTTCTTTTCAGTTAAATAGATATGCATCATTTTCAAAAGAACCATATACGTTCCTATAGGGTAGATAATAGATTACTTTAGGGTCATTCAGGCCAAAGTACCAAAGTTATGCGGCAGATACTAAGAATAGTATAGTCGGTACAATGGAAAAATTCTTCATCTTAATAGATACAATCTTATGAAAAAAAAAAAATAAAAAAATAAAAAAAAAAAATCCGTTTTCATTTAGCGGTTATAGTTATCAAAAAACCTAGATTAATATGCGTATAATTTAATTACAATTAATCGTTCTGAAACATAATTATCAAATCGGCAATAATATAATTAATTATCCCTTATCCTAAAGAAAAAATAAAAAGAACAAAATATATAAATCGTATACTTTTCTATTTCAATTAATAAAAAGAAAATAACGAAAGAATTGATTAAATTCATAAAAAAAAAATTAGAATCCATATCAATGGACACTGAGGGATTTGGATATAGGAAGATATCCCATACCATCATTGAAATCCTACGGTGTTCTGATCGTGTTCATTTCCCTGTAACAGCAAGCGCGTGCACTCACGCAAGTAAACAATCTGAAGCAGAGAAGTATATCGCGTAAGTTACAACTATTATAACGGAGTGTAAGTATTACTACTACTATTACGAATACTACGGATACTACTACTATACAATATTTCTATTTCGATTAATAAAAAGAAAATATTGTAAAAATTGATTAAATTCATAAAAAAAATTAGAATCCATATCAATAGATACTGGGGTTTGGATATAGAAAGATATCCCATACCATCATTGAAATCTTACGGTGTTCTGATCGTGTTCATTTCCCTGTAATAGCAAGCGCGTGCACTCACGCAAGTAAACAAGCTGAAGCAGAGAAGTATATCGCGTAGGTTACAACTATTATAACGGAGTGTAAGTATTACTACTACGAATACTACTACTACTACGAATACTACACTACTACAAATACTACTACGAATACTACTACTACTACAAATACTACTACGAATACTACTACTACTACAAATACTACTACTACTACAAATACTACTACGAATACTACTACGAGTACTACTACTACTACAAATACTACTACGAGTACTACTACTACTACAAATACTACTACAAATACTACTACTACTACAAATACTACTCCTATTACGAATACTACTACTAAACTACTACGAATACTACTACGAATACTACTACTACACTACTACTACTACTACTACTACTACGAATACATACATCACTATCACTACCCACCACTACCAGTAATACATCATCATCACTAGCACTACCCACCACCCACCACCACCACCACCATCGCAAAGCTTTAGTATCTGACTACTTAGGAGCTACGGAGGAGCATCGTTGTTTAAACGGAATCGGTCAAGCGAAGCGCCACGGATAAGCATCCAGGAAAGGTTCTCGGTAGTGGGGAATAGAGTTGGCTACTCTAGTGGCCACTCGGAGTCAGTTGTTGCTCTTATGCTCGCCGGGCATTAACGTTCCCGGGTCAGATTCTACAAACGCGACTAACCAACCAACCGACCCAATCCAACCAAACCCATCTCTGGCCCCAAAAAATACTTTTTCTCAATTTTTTTTTTCTCTCCTTTTATATCCTCTTATCCAATTATTTTTTCTTTCCTAATCAATCATTAACCATTTCTTCCCCCCCCT